CGTACACTGGTTCACCACACTCAATCCCGCTTCCTTCTGAATCCACCCTAATGGATAGGGCTTCGGATGTCTCACCGTCTTCAACCCCAGCTTTTGTACCAACGCTTCAGATATCAGGTTCTTCTGACTCCCTATGTCTACAATGGCATCCACTAAGCTAGTCTTGACCTGCAACTTCAGAACAAAGAGTTGCTCTCTCGGGTCGTTGTCTTCTTTTGTGGCCTGTTTCCCCGCCATAAGGTTGAGGCTATTGTTGGGCTCTGTCATCCCGAGAACCTCTTTCGGACCCTGTGCTATCACGTACGCCTTTTTCTCCTCCTTCTTCTTCAACCCTTTCGGCTTCAGATGAGGGTACTTATCCCAGCAACGATCAGCCACGTGCCCTGTCTGCTTGCAGTGATTGCATGTCAATCCTGCCTTCCCTGAATCACCCTTCTTCTTCTCTTCCTTATGTTGAGAGCTACTAGACTTGTTTCCCGATTGTTTGGAGTCACCCTTCGTTTCGTTGCCCTTCTTCTGTTTGCCCTCAATGGCAATTGCCTTCACGCTCGCTTCTGCAATCGTCTCGACCGTGAACAGCTTCATCTCCTTACGGATGTAATCATTCAGTCCCGCCATGTACTTCATGAAGATGGAGTACTCGTCCGTTGCGATGTTTAGAACCATCGCCTGCTACTGGAACTCCATCGTATACTCTTGAACGGTCTGATTGAATCTTTGGCGCAAGCCATACCACTTGTATCAACGCTCCTTAAGGAACCCCACCGGATAGAACTGTTTCCTGAGTAGCTCCTTGAATTTGTTCCACGACGCTGCCTTCTTCTCCTGTTTGCAATAGGATTTCCACCACGTCAACGCGTGTCCTGAAAGCTTCAATGTCGCGAACACAATCTTCTCCTTGGATGAATATCCGTAGAGGGTGAAGTACATCTCCATACGCTCAATCCAATCATCGAGCTTTTCTACATTGACACTCCCATCATAGACAGGAATCTCCACCTTGAAATCTATCTTTAAATTTTGGTAATTATTTTTACCCCCTTGATGTCCAGCAGCCCTAACAACCTCGGTTCCCCCGTCCGAATCAGACTTCTCGCTCTCTTCATCGGACTCGATGATTTTCTTCTTACCCTTCGAAGAAGATTCCTCTCTTTTGTCCCCTTTGTTAATGAGACCCACGAGCTGACTGAGCGTCGAACCGATCGTCTCGATCTGCTTCTCCATGGCATCAAGTCTTGTTGAGTTATCTGTTTCAGACATTTTCTCCTTCCTTAACTCTTGGGCTCCTTCCAAGGAAGTAAGGATCTCGCCAAGTTCCTTGTATTGCGAACGAGTCAGGACCATGCACAGGATGCCCCCTTCGTAGAATCTGATAGCTCTGATACCAACTTGATACGAGTTGCCGTGCGAGCACCTTTGATCGCGGAATTATCAAAGGTGGGTTGAGGAGAAATAATAAGAATACAAGAATAACTCAGATTTTGGGCGAAGGAAAATACCTCCTCTAGATTATGAGTATGTAATTTACAATCTCTCACAATCTCACTCTAGAATTGAAGAACAAGCTCTCCAAATCTCAATTACAAGTTAATCTCTCTTGATTTAACTCTCTGATTGTTTAGAAACCCTAAAACAATCCCTTATATAGGTGTACAAATGTGGATGGCAATTTGGTAAATAACCAGACCCAAAACCAACAGGAATTCGTGTGAATAGAATCCCAAACGAACCAGGAAACCCTCGATGAGTCGACTCGTGACTGAGATGAGTCGACTCGACAGAAACTGGAGAAATCTCAATAACCAGCGATGAGTCGACTCATGACTGAGATGAGTTGACTCGACAGAAACTAGAGAAATCTCAATAACCAGCGATGAGTCGACTTATGACAGTCATGAGTCGACTCAACCTGATGAGTTGACTCATAACAGTCATGAGTCGACTCACAGGCTGAAAACTGGGTACTTCGATTCTTCTGCTCGTCGTCTTGTTCCACGCTTCCTCCTGTGTTCCCTTATACTGTTTGACACCCCCTATTCTCATGCTAGTATGAGAATCATTTATCCTCAAGCTCCCATGAGGATCGCTAAGTTCCAAAGAGAAGATACACCCGTATCAGGTACGGGGTGGCTGGGTGTGTGAACAGTAGAGGGTATGGCGGCATTGTGAACGAGGAGGGGAAAAATATACATAGGTAGGTATATTTATAGGGTTAGGGTTTAGGTATTTAAAATAAAAAATTCAAATAAGTAATTACGGGTATTTAAAAATTAAACTAATTATATAATAATTATCTACAAACAAAAATGTACATGTTGTACTAATACAACAGTTGATACGAAATAGTCAAAATATACACATATTGTACAATTAAAAGAGAATAATTAATAATAAAAATATTTTTACTTACATTTAAAATCAAATAATTATGGGACAATTACGTACACAGTAAAACGCACTAGTTATACTAATACGACAGATAATATGTAACAGTAGAAATAATACAACAAATTATACCAATAACACATAATTAATAATACCATGTATTATATAAAATAATTTGTAATAATATTAATAATAGAATATATTATTTAAAATAATACGTAATAGTACCGATAACACAATAAATTAATTCTAGAAATTTTTTTACCACACAAAATAAATTTATAAATATTAAAATTATTTAAATAAATACAAAATTTAGACTTTAAATCATAGAAAATTGTAGAAATTCAAGAAAAATATAAACACTCGTTTAAAAATTATAATTAAATATTTTAAAATACTAAAAATTTATTTTAACTAGTATAAAATTTCATGGTCCTTACACTTTGATACTATCCATGAACGTGGTAAAGTAGTTGTTAACTACGGATAACGTCAAATCATCAATTCTTATCTGCAAACATTATAACAGAAGCCTATAAATACAAGCCTAGAGCCTTCATTTAAACGTTCTGATATTTTAAGGCGAGGTGCTGTCGGTTTAAAGTGTGAACCACGAATTTTAGAGAGGGGTAGCAGATCTTGGCTAACTTCAACATTAAGGGGAAGCTTTTCAAGAGATCGGAGTCCCGTGTCCTTTTTCCTCTGGATCAAACTTTGTTTTGATCTTGAGAAGAGTCGTAATCTCACTTGGTCGAGATTATCACTTCAGCGATTACTTCCTTTATGAAGTAAGAGTATTAATCAATTTTCTGTCAACCGGATCTTGTCCGTGATAGTCCACAGACTAACGCGTCCCCAGCACAGGCAAAGATCCTATGCAAACGGAGGCTAATAAATAGTTTTTGTGTATTGTTTGATAAAGTTGTTATTGTTTGGGTGAAAAATTAATTTCATTGATGAGTTCATTACAACTTTAGACGTTTACAACAAATTCAAGAAAATAGCCTTTTTATAAGAATTTTAATCAAAATTATAACTTTCTTTCAAACAACACACAATACCAGTTTATCTCCTATTGCTTGCGTGGGATCTTGACCGGTGCCTGGGTTTATCTGTGGACCGCCTATGGATCGGATCCGGTTAGCAGAAGTATTGATCAGAGCTCCTACTTAACCAAAAAAGTATTCGCTGAAGTAGAGATATCAACCAAGCAAAATTAGTACTCTTCTCGAGATTAAGACCAAGCCTAATCTCAAGGAAATGGGGTACGGGGCTTCGGATCCTTCGAAAGACTCCTTTATACCAAAGTTCGCCGGGATCATTCGATTGACTCTTCAATCCAGCAGCACCTCCTCCTCTTAATCCAATTCCAGCTCTATAGAATGAAGGCCTTAGGCTTATATTTATAGGTCTCGGATGCGGTTATCTTGATGAGAATGGGAGATTTGACCTTATCTTCAATCAATAACAGCCTACCCATATGTAGAGATGATATTAAGTCAGTTGGGAATCTCTGGAATAGATAAATCCTGTGAAAACCACTTAAAAAACTATCAAAAACGCGTTTGAGGCTCAGGACTACGTGGCAGGCCACGGTGACCCGCATGACCAGAGGTGACCCATATGTGCGTAGGTCACCAAGTGGCGACCCGCGCCCCCATGCGAATTTTGAGGTTTTTTCTTTGCTTTTTGGTGTTTCCCGACTTTTCCGGACTTGTATTTCCTACCATTTTGCATATTTGGTTGTCTTGTTGACTTGTACGCTTAACTAACTTGCTTTATACACTCATTAGCTTCATTAAAACACTTGGAGCTAACCGACAAGCGCGACAGCCACTCGGATAATCCCTCTTTGACTCGGATGATAACGTTCATTGTCTTCTCTTTGTCTCGAGCTATGTGAGGGAATCTATAGGTATTTTAGATACCTATAGATACCCCCTCCAAAGTGTTTTAGCCTCATTCTTTTATAGGAGAGTCTGAAATACTTTGGATATGATACGTCCAATCTTTAGTTTTTTAGATTTCATCAACTCTCAGTCTATTCAGTATTTTATCGGATAGCTAAAATTCTTCCGGTACTACATTTATCGTTTGACCGTTGTCAAAACCTCAAACTACGATTGATGCGTTAATATCTGAATCATTTCTCATTGTTGAATCGACTTCTGAACAGATCAACTTCGTCGGGATTTTACGTCTGAATACGATCGAATTTCTTGGGATAATTCTTTCATCTGAAATATCATTCTGAACCTTGTTTTGGCAGAATTATTGACGTGTTGACTACCATCGACTTTTGTTGCAGTGTGAACACAAATGAGCCTTATTTTGGCAAAATCACTAACGCGCTGACCGGGTGAAAATCGGTCTTGAATATATCAGGCGAAAATGAGCGAAAGTGGGTGAAAATACTATGAAAACAACCGTTGGACCAACCCCACATGTAGGTCGGGTCGAAGTGACCCGCACTTGTACGGGTCAGGTCTAAATGACCCGCATTTGTGCGGGTCACCCTATGGTGACCTGCACGAATGCGGGTCACACCTACCCGACCCGTACGAACGCAAGTTATGGGTTGTTGGGGTTTTATAAAACCCGGTTTCTCCTCCCTACTTCCTTTCTTCCACAGAACCCATCTTCTTCAAGCCCCGTTCTTCCAAGAACTCCTCTGCTTAAAGAGTTCAAAACAAGATCAAAACTCCCCCAAGCTCTTTAAATCCCTCAACTTCCTCAAATCTACAAGCAAGGCAAGCTAGGGTTCGGCGATCTTTTGACTTGGGTTCAAACATCAGTTGATCTTGGGCCTCTCTTCTTCTCAATTCCTTTTTGAATCCAGGTAAGCTTCACTGCCCTTGCTTCAATTTTGGCTGAATCTATGAGCTTTGATTTGATGATTGAAGCCCTAGTTCTTCGAATTTGGGGAAAACTAAAATTGGATCTTGGGCTTTTGAATGATGGCTGAATTTTTGAGCTTTTGGTTGTGAAGAGAACTAAATTGAAATTTCAGCTTTGGCTTGGCTTTAATCTTGCTCTTGAATTTTGATTTTGATATTTAAGGATGATTGGAACCCAAATTTGGGTTCACGGGTTTCGGCTTTGGATGTAAACCTTACTTTCTCCATGACCATGGCTCAACTCTCTTCTTCTTCTTTATTGACAGGAACCAAAGCTTCTTCTTTGGGATTTTACAGTTTTCAATTCGTCTCTTTTTTTCGCAATTCCCCTTTGCTGAGCTCAATTCTTCATCCTCAGGTAAATTCTCATTCTCTTATTCTCAATCTTACTAATTTTCTTTTTTTTTTATATTTTTTACTTTGGAGGATAACTGAAACTCTGAGTTTAATTCTGAATGAGAACTGATCTTGAAATACTTGACCGTGAATATTGATCTGATTGCTTCATGTCTGAAGTATTTGTTTGATTGTGTGCAATTTTGGATGATAGCCAATGCATTGCTTTTAGTCTTGGACAAAACCCTTAACTTGACCGAGATTGAACTCACAGTTATGCATGGGGCTTGGACCAAACTCGGGTATTTTGATGAAAACCGAAACTGGGTGTTGATTTTAGGCATAAACTGAGGCCACAGCTTGTATTCCGTTTGAGAACCACAACTTGAGATATGTGTATAAGGCGTTTGTCTTGGTTTCCGGGAAACAAAAGTGAGTCCTTGAACCTGAGTATGGCCGAGAACTTTTGTCTTTTGATTCTTGTATGCCTTCGGTTTTGGACTTGGATGTTGTATGAGTTGAAGAAAGATTATGGTTGTTTATGAAGTTAATGAGAACTGAGTTTGTTGTTGTGCGGATAGCCAAGGATTAATGTCATGCTCCTGTTGTTCAAACATGATTATAACTTTGAGTTGTTGGAAGAACTTTGTTGTGTGTTTGTAGAAAATTTGGTGTAAAAGAAACGAAACAAATTGATTTGTATTCCTTTAATCTCAGTTACAATTGGATTTTCCGATTACAAAAGAGAGGAGAATGATCTGGATTCTCCCCTTTGTTTAATTCTGGGTTCTTCTTGGTAGCGATGGAGTGCCTCCTTCGAATGTTTGCGTCGAATTTGTTCTCCGTTGACGATCTGTACATCTTGATTCACTGGAACGTGGTCTTCTCCTCACGATTTGACGCTGTGGAGAACTTGCGTGGTAAGTTTGAAAATAACTCTTAACGAGTTAACAACTCAGAGCGAGTTTTAGAAGAACTTGTAGAGCAAGTTTTAAACTCTGATCGAGTTGAGAAGAACTCTTAGAAAGAATTCACAAGCCAAGCCGAGTAATCTCAAAGGCTTCAATAAAAGCCTTCCAAGATGATTCAAGAGTTTCTTCAAGTCGCTGATCTCCAAAGCTCCATGTTGCTGAAGTTGAAGATGGATAAAGGTCGATCTCATTTTTATGACTTTTTCATGAAAAAGTCCAACCCCTAACTCAGTTGAGTTTACTCATATTTATAGGAGATTAAGGGGTATAACCGCCCCTTAATTCGCTCCTAAGTGGGGCTGAATGGGGTGTAACCACCCCCTTAAATTGCTCTCCAAATCATGGGGAAAACGGTTTTGAAACCATTCAGTTCGCGTTTTGAACGAGTCAAACGCTAAAAAATAGCGTTTTGGGCCTGAACTCTGCGTTTTAGACCTGAAACGCAGAGTTGGGCCTGTTTTAGGCTGAAAACGCACAGGTCGCGCTACACAGAGATGAACCTCTGCATTTTGGATCTGGGACGCAGAGTTGGTTTCTGCATGAACTCTGTGTTTTTTGACCTGGGACGTAGAGTTGGGACGCAGAGATGAACTCTGCGTTTTAGACCTGAGACGCAGAGTTAGGATGCTTCATGACCTCTACGTTTTGAGTCCACGAACTCTACGTTTCGAGTTTGGAATGCAACCATGACCTCTGCGTTTCGAGTTTGGAACGCAACCATGACCTCTGCGTTTTGAATCTCAAATGCGGTCACGACCTCTGCATTTTGAGTTTAGAACGCGGGGATGACCTCTGCGTTTTGAATCTTGGATGCAGAGATGAGCCTCAAGCGGGCTCGGTGAGCTTCAGGCTAAGTCTAATGTTCAGGCGAAGTGCAGTCTCACAGACGGACTTCAGAACATAATTTGCTGCAAAAAACATGTCATAACTTTCAAACCCTAAGTCGGAATAGGACGAATTATATATGAAAATCGACTATCTCGACGAGACGAAGCCGACTAAACCAACCTTATAAGGTTCGATTTGTTTCCTCCGTTTTGCCAAATTCCTTTCGGTTTGAGAGATATCTGTGTTTTGATATGAAGAGACCGTCAATTTATAGTCTCTTTTACTAGCGCGTTGCAAAGATCGTCACCTTGTAACCTTCGTCTTGGCTCCTTGAAAATATTAGAGTCGTCAGATTGTAACTCCTGATGTTGATTGTGAAGGCTGTTTATTAGAGCTTTTATCAGTTGTTGCGAAGGTCGTCAGATTGTAATGTTCATTGATCTACGTGAAAGTCTTCAAATTATAGCCTTCTGGAAGCCGTCGAATTGTAACTTCCATCATTAATGTTTGATGGGGATCAGCTATCTGTTGTGATTTTTAGACAGCCTACAGAACCCTCTCCAAAGTTTTCAAAATTTCGCGGTTGACTGGGACGAATTTTCGAAATACTTTGGATCCCAACTCTGATCTTGGAGCTGTTGATTCCTTGTCACAAAGGAGTTGTTCTCTGTACACGCTTCGAAGGCAGCTTGGTTGAAGGGATTTACCACACAGGACCTCGGCGTTTTGACTTGAGACACGCAGGTGGCTTTTATGCATTTTTGACTAAGTCTTTGAGACTTGTCTTTAGCTCATCTGTTTTAAGTTTCGGCTCACATCCATTAAGCTGATGGGCCTACAAACATGCATAGGATTTTTGGTAAACTCTCAGCCATCAACGGATTTGATAAGCCTTTACCGACTACCGTTTGAGTCGGGCTAGCATGTGAATTATTTGAATCCGTTTCACATGTAATATTGTGCTAAGAGAATGAACCCTCTTAAACTTAATGCTATGATTTTGAATACATAGACTTTATCATTTTCACAGGAAAAGACTAACTGGTAATGCGTGTTAGGCGTAGGTTTATCTCTAATTAGGGATCGAGATAAAGGCCCCAATGTGGTGAAAGACATGGATTTTGGTGCGACGATGTTGAATACATAGGCTTTGTCACTATTTCTTCCTGTTGTATATTTTCTCTTAAAACACTGAAAGAAAATTAGAAGTGTCAGAGGTGTAGTATTAACTTGGCATGAATTTTCACTTAGAGTGAAACTCAAAAATTTTCTTCACTAAAACTAGGATAATTCCAGAAAATCTTTAATCCGTTGGGGATTTTATAATAAAAACATGCTATCCTTATTGAAAAAGGATTAATAAGTTCATTGGGGGGTTTGACTGTTAGAGGTGTGATGTTAACCTAACTGTATTTTATGGACCTATTGCTCTATTGAAGAGAGTCGATAAGTTGATTTGGTCGTCAGAGGTGTGATGTTAACTTGACGGGAATTTGCTCTATTGAAGAGAGTCGATAAGTTGATTTGGTCGTCAGAGGTGTGATGTTAACTTGACGGGAATTTGTTACGATCGGAGTAAGTTGATTTGGTCGTCAGAGGTGTGATGTTAACTTGACGGGAATTTGTTACGATCGGAGCAACTTTGTAGATTTATCATCCTATTAAAGAGGATTGATAAGTAGATTTTGTCAGATGTGTGATATCAACTTGACAGGAATTTATGGACCTATCGCTCTATTAAAGAGAGTCGATAAGTTGATTTTGTCAGAGGTGTAATATTAATGTGACAGGATTTTATTACGATCGGAGCAACTTTGTAGACTTATCATCCTATTGAAGAGGATTGATAAGTGGATTTTGTCAGAGGTTTGATGTTAACTTGATAGGAATGCGTTTCGATTGGAGCAACTTTGTGGGCCTATCATCCTATTGAAGATGATTGATAAGTGGATTTTATCAGAGGTTTGATGTTAACGTGACAGAAAAATATGTACTTGTGATTTACACAAGATTTTGGGAATTAGCGTCTCGCTGGGGAAACTTGATAGGTGAGTTTACCACCAGAAGCGATGAATTTTGATACTTGTGATTTAAATAAGATTTTAAAGACTTAGTGTCTTGTTGGGGAAGATTGCGATTTGAGCAATTTTGAGGACTTATCATCCAATTGATAAGGATTGATAAGTTGATTATTGTCAGAGGTGTATTGTTAACGTGACAAATTGGGAGTGATGCAAGCTGCATTCATACTCTGTGATGGTGATGATCGTCAAAAGTGTAATGTTAACTCGACGATGTGAAAGATTCGTTGCTCTTAATCGAGTGGATTCTAAGTAACCAACCCCCAGTCTTAATTAAGACTTAACAAGGGAATAAAAAGAGGTAGACAATGCACATCGTCCAGTGTGGCACTATCTATGAAGTCGGAATAGAGGCACACTACCTAGTAGGCCATTACCTGATGAGTTTGACTATCAGAGGTAACTACTAACGTGATAGTTTTGTGGACATGCCATCCTATTGAAGAAAATTAGCAAGTTGATGGACTATTAGAGGTAACTGTTAACGTGATAGTTTTGGTGGACCTACCATCCTATTGAAGAGGATTAGCAAATTGATAGACTATCAGAGGTAACTGTTAACGTGATAGTTTTGGTGGACCTGCCATCTTATTAAAGAGGATTAGCAAATTGATGGACTATCAGAGGTAACTGTTAACGTGATAGTTTTGACGGATTTCGTGGTTGACAGAGGTATTTTATTGAACGTGAGAACTCAGAAAATTTATTATTCATAATCCAATAAACTACAAATAAACCAACCTCCAGTCTTGAACAAGTGCAGGGGGAAAAGGAGTAGACATGACACATCACCTAGTAGGCCACTATCTAACGAGTTAGACTATCAGAGGTAACTGTTAACGTGATAGATGTTGGAACTAACATCCTACTGAAGAGGATTAGCTTCAGTGGGTAGTATCCTCCTCTTCTGACTGAGAAGATTGTGCTTGGTCCGATTGCTCAGGTTGATCCTGCTTACTTTGTTCTTCAGCTTTGATCCAGGCAATAATCTTTTGAGCCTGTTCACCTTGAGAAATTAGTTGTCTCCAGGAACGGCATTTTGTAACTCTCATTTGTGCTAGAAGGTCGGTCTGCAAGTTGTGTCGACAGGTCTCTACTAAGATAGACTGTGTCATCCCTGACGAAGGCTTTGACGGACTCTCTCTTCTTCTGCTTAGTGGTGAGAAGGGTATTGATGGAGACTTCTGTATCTTCTTCAAAGAATCTTGACCGGAAGGGTCTCTCTAGATCCGTCCACTTTTGGATACAGCCGGTAGACAGTTTCCTAAACCATTCAAAGGCAACTCCCTTGAGGGTGCCAATGAACAATCGAACCAGTATGGCGTCATTTGATATCATATTTCTAGTCTGTGACTTTAAATGATAAATATGTTGGTTCGGTGATCCCGTTCCGTCAAAAGTTTGTAGCGTCGGGACTTTAAATTTTGCAGGATAAGGGGCTGCATCCCATTCGGCAGGATAGGGCCTGACAATTCCCTCATTTTGGAGCTCGCTTCTGTTAGCAATGGCATTAAGACGGGCTTCCAATTCTTCCATTTTAGCCGATTGAGGATTCTGCTCATTCTCGGCTTCTCTTCCTTCACCAGAGGAAGATTCCAGGTTGTGGGCTTCTTGGTCAGAAGCCGTATCATCAACCACTTTTCCCTTCCCTTTGCTTGTGTGAGGTCGGGATGAAGATGTTCTTCCTCTTCAGGAAGA